TTTAAAAGAAAAAAACTAGAAATCTCAAAACGCAACAAATTGTGAATATGACAATTTCTAAAACATTTCAACAGAATACTCTAGAACTTTATTTCGCTAAGTCAGCGTATTTTTTGAATTAATAGAATTAGTTTCTTCACTAATTTGGCGGGTTTTTAGTGTTTGTGAATATTCTTTTTATTCTTTCGCACAAAGATGTTTTGAGAACATTCAAGTTTATTATGTTTCCATGTATGTCCGTAAAACAAAAATTTTTTGTTTCGTACATAAACTTAAATGTTCTCAAAACGACTAAAAAACCTGGCCAGTTTTTCGCAACTAAATATAATTTCCGTGGTCAGTATTCGAGAGCGATCGCGCCCGCTTCCCGACCAAGCCTCTATATATATATATATATATATATATATATATATATATATATATATATATATATATATATATATATATATATATGTATATATATATATATATATATATATATATATATATATATATATATATATATATATATATATATATATATATATATATATATATATATATATATAAAATAACTGTTTTAGAAAGTTAATAAATACTAAAAAGCTGAATCATATCATGGTTAACAAGTGTGTTGCATATGGTTGTAAAACTGGATACAACAGTTCTTTAGAAGATAAAAAAATTGCTTCTTTTCATTTTCTGTTAAAAAATCAACAGTTACTGAATTATTGGGTTCATTTTGTTAATCGTACTGATTGGGTGCTTTCACCAAACTCCGTTTTGTGTGAAAAGCATTTTAATGAAAAGTTTTCAAGAAGATGAACTTAGTTTTTTTTCTGAAAATGATAAAGTTACTGAATGGACCATGTTAAGTATTAAACATTCACCAGAAGGTTTCCAATTTAAAAAACATCTCAATTGTGTAGTTTATTATAATTTAATATTTGATCCTATAACATTTTTTCCATCAATTCTTGAATCAATAAAAATTGATTATTGCTTATGTGTAGCTTTGCAATATAAAGGAAATAATGTTCCACTTCCTCCATGGTTATCTAAAGGTCGTAATTCTAAATTAACTAGTTTAAGTATGTTTGAAAATCTTGCAGCGTACATAAAAAATACCGCTTCTTCTAATAGAAATATACTTCTTGATGAAATAAATAGTCGAACATACTATAAAGCCAAGGGTCAACCACAATATTTTGCTGATATGATTAGACATGCTACATTATTAAGATATACATCTAAACAAGCATATGAAATTTTACTAGAATCATTTCCATTACCTTCAATTTCTTTGTTAAATAAAATAAAACAAGGTGAAGTTGATGCAATAAAGGCTGTTAAAACATTTCGTGAGAAAGATTCAATACATGAAGATGTAATATTAATTGTAGATGAATTTTATCTTCAGAAACAAGCACAATATTGTAGTGGTATTTATGTGGGTGCAGATGATACAGGTACTTTGTACAAAGGAGTTGTTGCATTTATGATAGTTAGTTTAAAAAAATCAATTCCTTTTATTATTAAAGCGATAACATAAGTGGTAAATGGCTTTCAGATCAAATATCCGATTCTATTAGTTCTCTTTCGCTATCTGGTTTTAAAATTCGAGGTGTTGTTACCGATAATCATAAATCGAATGTAAGTGCATTTAGTTTGCTTTGTTCCAAATTTGGTAATCAATCAAATTTCTTTATTAATCATCCTGATAGTCCAAATACTAAAATATACTTATTTTATGATAGTGTTCATCTTGTTAAAAATATCAGAAATAATTTATTACACTGTAAAAAATTTGTCTTTCCATCCTTTACATTCAATATAAAAGATGATTCTAATTGTCCAGCTGGTTATATTACTTGGGGAGATTTTCATCATCTACATTTTAAAGATGAGAAACTTCAAGGCAATTTACGAAAAGCTCCAAAAATTTCATATCAGAGTCTTCACCCTGGTAACAAAAAGCAAAACGTTTCTCTTGCACTATCAATTTTTGATGAAACAACAATTGCAGGTTTCAAGAGTTATTTTTCAGAACGTTATTTTTCAGAAGACATTTCTGGTTTTCTTACAATTTTTCACAAATGGTGGACTATTTCAAATTCTAAAGAGCGATTTAGCCCAAATAAACTATATACTATAACTACCCAAATAAATAATGTGATTATTCTTAATGATGGTAAAACAACTTTTTCTCGACAATTAGCTAATTGGATTGAACTTTGGCAGAAATCTCCATATTTTACCTTATCACAACAAACATCATCGGCTCTCATCACAATTCTGCGTTCTCAAGCAATGCTTATAGATGACCTTATTGAAGAAGGATATTTATATGTATTTACTTCACGGCTTCAAAGTGACCCAATAGCTCTCATCACAATTCTGCGTTCTCAAGCAATGCTTATAGATGACCTTATTGAAGAAGGATATTTATATGTACTTACTTCACAGCTTCAAAGTGACCCAATAGAGCGTAGATTTTCGCAATATCAACAGATGAGTGGTGGAAGATTTCTAGTTAGCTTACTAGAAGTTCAACAGTCTGAATTTATTTTAGCATGTCGGTCTTTAATTAAGGAGAATATAAATTTTTGGGATGAAGATCTAAAAAACAACCACAATAACCCAATTAATAATGAATTACTGGCAGTATTAAATTTAAACTCAAACAAGATATCTGAATCAACTCTCTCACTTGAAATAGAAGAAGTTGCAACAACTATAGCAGGTTACATTGCTAAAAAATTAATCAAAAGAAGCAAATGTAATTATTGCAAACCTTTGCTAGCTACAGATACAAGCAATATAATTATTTATCCATATCTACAAATACTTTCCAGAGGTGGTCTTACAGTACCATCACTTTCACTTAAAGATTTTTCATGTGGATGTTTTGCAGTCTTAGATATCCTTTCAGATTTAATAACTAAACAAGGTGCTAATGTCAAAGACGTATCAAGCTTTGTTTTATCAAAATACTTTCCAACAGTTTGTTTTACCTGTGATATACACAAAAAATGGGGTTTTAATTTTGCTTCTAAAATCATAATTAATGTTTTTTTTAACAATAAGCAGAACTTAATCAATGCCACTGTACGAAAAGATGCTGTTAAAAGTTTTAAAAGTAGACAGAGAGAAAAATAACCATAAATATCTATATATATCTCTATATATCTATATATCTCTATATATCTATATCTCTCTCTCTCTCTCTCTCTCTCTCTCTATATATATATATATATATATATATATATATATATATATATATATATATATATATATATATATATATATATATATATATATATATATATATATATATATATATATATATATATAATAGTTAACAAAGATACTAAAAAAATAATAAATAAAAATGAGTCAATAATAAATAAGTTTATTAAATATAAAATATTAAAAATATATGCAATAAATAAAATAACTAGGTATCAAACAAGGACTTTTACAACCTAAAACAATATTTTTATATATTTCGAGTGTCTAATAGCGCTTCGGCTATTATATATATATATATATATATATATATATATATATATATATATATATATATATATATATATATATATATATATATATATATATATATATATATATATATATATACATATATATAATTACATGACCAAATTTATTAAATAATGTTCCAAATTATGACAGTTAAACAATTCAATAGATTATATATATATTAAATTTATTATATTTTCAAATTATTTATTTATTTAGATTTTTTTAAACTTTATTTTTTAATCATTTTATAAATATAAATGTTTCATTTATTTTAAAAGTATCTTTTTAGTTTTCTTTTTATTCTAATGAGTTGCTCTTTCTTTTCAAATAATGTATAACAAAATATCTTTTTTGGAAGATATTTTATATATATATTTTTCAATACAGGAGATAATTCAGAAGAAAAAGTTTAATATAGTTTAGTTTAGTATAATTCAGAAGAAATATTTGTAAGCTTAAAAAAGTCACAAACAATGAAAAAACTCTTTTTAGTACCTATCATATTCAGAATAGTTTTTTAAAACTTAAAACTTGAATTACATTTTTACAATTAGGAAATGCATATATATATATATATATATATATATATATATATATATATATATATATATATATATATATATATATATATATATATATATATATATATATATATATATATATATATATATATAAATGTCTTCTAAGACCAATGAGGCCTATACAGTTGAGGAAACTACTTTTTTTTTTAAATTTGATTTGATTAAGTTCAATAATTACAATTTAAAAAAATGTAATTTATGTAATATTCATCATTTGTTACTTCTCTTTTTAACAAATGGACACAATTTGTATTATAAGTTTAATTATTATTTCTTAAAATTAAATTGTGTTCATTTATTAAAATAAAGAATAAGAATTCTTTGTTGACTAAAGTTTGTGTTTTTTTTCAAAATTTACTTTAAAATAATAAAAAAGGGTCATTAAAATAAAATTGTTGTTTTATATGTTAATTATAGCTTCAAGGAGGAGGTGGGTTATTACCCACAGATTGCAAGTGCTTCTCACTATATTAAGAACAGTAAGGCTAAGATTTTGATTTGAATGCAGTATGAAAGTTAGAAGAAGCATAGCACAGTTTTCCACTACATATAGATTTATTTTTAACATGTAAATATGTTAGCACTTCAGGAAGGAGGAGGAGGGGTTCATCACCCACAAATTTTTCTAAGATCCATTTTTTTAACATTTTTAAACCACTCAAATAAAACTTGTCTGACATCTGAATAGTAGTTTTTCGTCCTCCTCCGGCATGATGATACATGATGGAGCAGTTGCAGTATTTTCATCTGCCTCGACTTTTATGCATCTTTTTTTTAAATTTTGAGGTTTTGTTTAAGTGGAATTATTTTTTATATGTTTTATTCAGCTCTATCACATAACTGATAAAAGCATGAATAATATAAACAGTTGATTAAACTTAATTTTGCTATTTTTAGATATCTATCAAATGTGTATTTCTAACTGATTGGAAAGATCCAAGTTCTAACAGTGATAATGGCAATATCGTTGACCTACAATTGGAGTCTGATAGGTATAGAGACATTCATTTTCAAAATTTGACCGGAGGATATGATTTTGGAAAACGATTTCTTTATCATATGGTGTGGGCTATGCAAAATTTCAAGTTTGATTATTTTTTAAGACTTGACGATGATTATTTTTTATGTCTTGAAAGATTTCTTTATGAAGTACCAATGCCTCCTAAGAAGCTCTATCATTGGGGTTGGGTGCATTGTATTAATGAGTTAGTTCGTCCAGAAGAAAGTATAATTTTGCTATCAAATGATTTAATTGAAAGATTTTTAGGTCAAGATCCTGAGAGAATGCTATGTCATCGTTGGGCTGATCAGATGATTGGAATTTGGGTTAACAATATTTATCTGCCCGGTTTTCAATATAAACATGATAATCGCTTACATCACGATCCACCTGCTATGTTTATTGAAAATTTTAAAACTCAAAAAAATATTTGTAATTGGTATATTGGCATTCATGGTAGTTATCCAAAAGAAATGATGACTCTATGGAGGAATAGAGGCCTAAATAATTATAATAAAAACAAGACACTTGATGATTACAGCGAATATTGTATGTATAATCAATATATGAACTGGGATTTATTTGAAAATGAATGGCATGCTATGCCGATGTTGTGTAAAGAAGATCCTAGTTGGGGTGGAGCTTTAGGAACTCTTTATCATGGGCGACAAGGTCAGGTAGCTCAAGTATGACAAGTTTATAAATAGTTTGTTTCGAAACTTTTTAATTTGTTATTTTTGACTGCAGATTTTTAATTGCAGATAATTTTTAATTACAGATACACATTTGTATTTTTATATATAAAATAAATAAAAATATTTTATTCTTTTATATTTCTAGTTGCTTTTCTATGTTAAATATATTGTTTAAATATACCAGATCAAAAAAGTGGTAGTTTAGCCTTGGACTTTTTGTTGTAGATATACAGGGTGTTACCCAGGAATAAATTTGATACAGCGCTTTGATAAAATTACGATTTCGTCAAAATATTTCCCCATCTTAAAATAAAAATAAAATAAAATACCGTCTGTAACATTTATTGAAGATAAATATAAAATCAACACAAAATTAGACGTAGTTTCACAACGACATGGCAAATTAAGCTCCAAATTCCAAAGATATATTAAGAATGATATATTTTTATTTAAAATAATCAGTGTATATTAATTAATTATTATTAAGAATAATATATTTGATTTATTTATTAGTCTTAATATATCATTGCCGCTTTCATTTTAAGAGTATTCTTTTGAATACCTTAAAATCGCCTAAGTTCGGTCACTTAAGCTTTAAACATTTATTAATCACACATAAATATAAAATTATTTTAATTTTTTTTCCTGAAACATACAGAAAATTTTATTGATAATTGATATTGTAAAAATGAAAAATAAAACTAGTACTCAATATTTAATTTAAAATGAAAATATCCACTTTGACCGAACTTTCAATACCATCTAATAAGTTCGGCCGCTATATAAATACTAATAATATTTCACAAACTTAACGTCACAAATAATGAAAGCTATTTTTTAAATGTTTTTTTTAGTGCAAAATTACGATAAAAATTCAGGTAATACCAGTAACTAAGGAGGGCGTCGGCCCGGGCTAAAAAAAAAGTCTTTTGGGGCACCAAATAAAACAAGAAGGAGCACATAAAAAAGGCTTTTTTAAAGATAAGTAGTAGTACTTTTAATTTTTATTGTAATTTGTCAACTATTGTATTACTTAAACATGATCACATGTGGCTATGCCACCGGTTAGACATGATCACGGTGGCTATGCCACCAGTTAATACAGTTAAAAATATATTTTTCACTTAATTTAACAAAAAAATACAAGATTGCTTTAAATGAGCTTTGTATATTTATTGGCAGTTCTTGCACGTATCGTTGACCATAGCAGAACAGCAAGATCCACACAAACAATCGTCACAGGATTCCCATCGCATTCATAATTGTCGTTGAGCATTAATTATATCTCCAAAAAAAATGTCACAAGCATGATATTTTTTAGAACTCAAAGAGCTGTCGAAATTATAAACAAATTTTTTATTCAAATAAAATACCATGGTGTGTATCGATTATAAAAATGTCCAATTTACTGTTAATTTACAGGTAAAGTTACCGGTAAACTTTACATTCGCAACACATCAATATTTCACAATATTACTTCTAAGAATATTTAAAAATTTCACTAATTTTATCAAAAAAAACAAGTTAGTTTTTAAAAATTAATAATTTTTTTTTTTTGTAAATATAATTAATTCTTGTGATACTTAATAATGTTAAGATAAAATATGATCATTTATTTTAATAGTTGGCTTATTTTAGATTTTAACAGTATGCATTTTTTCAAATTGTTGTTTTGCTAAAGAATTGTTTCAGCAGGTTGCATATAAATATATATATATTTTTTTATAGGTTCATATTTACGAAGTAATTACTAATATTATTTGAGAAAAAAAAGTTTGTAAAATTTGAGTTTTTCGAAATTTTGAACGCATTAAGCTGCTTCTCGATATTTTTGTTGACAAAGCACATGAACTACTTGAAGTAGAGTTTGCAGTAAGACTTAATAAGCTATTTAACTTTTAAGCCAAAAAGGGCAAAAATTGAAAATAAATGGCTTTTACGGGTGTTAAACCAAACAAGTTAATTCTATTTTTAGATAGTCCTCTCTTTTTTCTCTATTTCTATTTCATTTTTATATAATATTTGCTGTTGTTAGAACGCAATGCAAAAAATTATTTGCAAATTTTGAGAAATGAATTTTACAAGCAAGTTTAAGAGAAATTTTCTATAATCGCTAAGAAATTTTCAATTTTCAAGAAGTTTTTTCCAAGAGGTATTTTTGCAATTATGCAATCGCGTAGTTATACTAATAACAGCAATTTTTTTTTCAGGTTTTACACATTTTTTTTTTTTAATTTCATTTAGGTGCCCTAAGAAATCCTTAGGGTCTTATCTCAGAGCGCAGCAAAAGAGCATTTAATAGAAAGTTCACGCCTCCTTCCTAACCGATGTCGCAAAACTTGCCTAGAGTTGGGGTTTGAACCAGGATCCTTAGTTTTCTTAAAAAAGTGCGCTACCACTGCGCCATGACTGCTAATTAATAAATTAGAGTTTTTTATGTTATTTTTCTATTAGTTTTTGAAAATAATTAATTTTCAATAATTTTTAGAATTATTATTAAACCTTAATTTGGCAAACTTTTTTTGGAAAATGGGATTTTTTCACATTTAAATTGGGAATTTAATTTTTTTGAGCATTTTAGGAATATCGCGTTTGCCGGGGCCCTGCAGGGCTAGTTTACACCCTGATATATTAATGTTTTGGTTTTTCAATTTTTTAAAGAAATTTGGTCAATAAAAAATTAGCAAATGAAATATTGAACAAAGAACAATTATATTTGTTAAATTAAGTTAGAGTCAGTTAATTTTAAAAAACAATATACAATGATGCGATTTGAAATTTTACAAAGTTACAAAATGTTTTGCTATATTCTGTTAATTCATCAAAATATAAAAGTAAGTGCTGAGGTTATTACACAAGAGTATATATTTCTTTCAAGAACAGTAATTTGAAACCAACGGTCTTCAATTCTTTTTAAACTTAAATGTTTTGGAGTTTCTGGTACATTGTTAAAATAGGTTGAAGCATTTCTACAAAATAGAAAATTAAGAGTTGTCATGGGATATAATGTATCATCTTGGAAGGATATATTTGGTGGTGTGTCGCAGGGTTCTGTTATTAATCTACTACTATTTATTATTTATATTAAAAGTTTGCTGAGAAAGTGTGTAAATATTTCAAAAATGTATGCCGGTGATGCAAAAGTATTATCAAGAAATGGTTATGAAGCAAGAGTTAAACTATTACAAAATGACCTTAATAAAGCTGTCAACTGGTCCAACAAATAGCTATTAAAGTTTGATTTTAAGAAGTGTTTAACGATGCACTTGGGTAAAAATAATCAAAAATAAATTTTTTTATGCAAAATATACCTTTAAGTAAAAGATCTTAGTGTAGTAACTACTTCTTAGAATACCTATTTAAAATGGAAAATCAAATAACTCTATGTGCAAGTAAAGCAAAATTGGGTATGTTGAGGAATATATTTTTAGGTTTAAATAGTTAATTACTAAAAATTATATACATAATTTTTGTAAGACCGTTAATTGAGTTTGCTGTATCTTTGTCATCTCCATGTCTTAAACATGAAGTTAATCTCTCTAAATCGATAAATAATCACGTGACTAAACTCCCTACTTAAACATGAAGTTAATCTCTCTAAATCGATAAATAATCACGTGACTAAACTCCCTACTTAAACACGAAGTTAATCTCTTAGAAAAGGTACAGCATCGTGCTACAAGAATTATATCGCCACTAAAAAAACTATGTTATGAGAAAAGATCACATAAAAAGATTACATAAAATGTCTCACTACTTTAGTTGTAAAAAGGATTTGAGGTGACTTTTTTTCAAATGTACAAGTTTAATTCAAATGTACAAGTTATTCAATAAAATTGAAAAAGTAAATTCAATTAATGAAATTTTGCCAAGAAGCTATCAATCAATAAGTGGTTATCAAATAAAATATAATCGCGAAATAACTAGTTTTTTGCCTCCACATTACTTTTTAACAAAGAGAGCATCTTTTTACTGGAATCGACTTCCTGCTGATGTCGTTAATGGTATTTCTGTGAACACTTTTAAAGCTAAACCTGACATATGGCTTTTTAAAAAGTGTAACTATGCTGAATAATGATTGAATACGTGTGCTCCATATTCAATCATTATTCAGCATAGTTACACTTAGATGATTGGAGCCTGGGTACAAAAAAACCCTAAATTTTAGCTACACCTGCCCCAAACGTGAGAGCAACAAGTTGATAAAATATTTTTTCTACTATTCTCAATCAATTATATATTCATCGATAAATTTTAAAATTCACACAATTATCTCTAAGCGTTCAACAATTATGGCCTTATAAAATCTTGCAGCCCCCTCAAACTGGGGGGGGAGGGTCAAACTTTTTAAGTTCATAGTTTTTGAATGCTAAAAGATTATTGTGTGAATTTTAAAATTTATCGATGAATATATACTTGGTTAAGAATAGTAGAAAAAATATTTTATCAACTTGTTGCTCTCACGTTTGGGGCAGGTGTAACTAAAATTTTAGGGCTTTTTTGCTCCCAGGCTTCAATCATCGCAATTTTTTCAAATTTGATAAATTCTATAAATGATATAAGTATAAACATATAAATTTTTGGAGTTTGCTCCATCTCTGGAAGTTAGGTATCTCGAACATCAAAAAATGCCGCATCCGCACCTGTCTGTTGTGAGGTACAGAACTAAAAGCTTTGGTGAAATTAAAATATATTACATCAATAAAGTGTTGAGATGAAGACGATATAATATCAAAAGTCTCTATTAGATTAGTTACGCATATTTTATGGTGAAAAAAGTCATGTGGATTTGCAGGGAGCATGTTATTATTGTTATTGCGCTTTAAGATTTTATTCTTTTCAAGTTTTTCAAAGACTTCGCACGCAACAGAGGCTAGTGAAGTTGGTTGTTTACAGCTAGTAATTTTCCTGTATTTTTTTTATAGACCGGACTAATACTCGCTTTTTTAAAAAGTGGGTGCCTGTTATTATCGAATTAATTATATTTTTATATTACTTTGCTTTTTTTATTTTAGTTACCCGACCTTGAATTTCAAATGTACCTACATGTGAATATTCCAGTGCTATGCTGGACAATTGGCTGTTTTGGATTTATTGATTGTTGATCATTTGTTATAGGCAGGCTCAGTTTTC